AGTTGTCTCCCCACAGAACCTCCCCCACTTGTTCCCCCCACCCCACAGGGCACTCCCCACTTGTCCACAGAGATGCTTCCCTTCATGAGTACTCTCCCAGATCTTGGCACCCAACCCATGCTATATCACATTAATCAGACAAAGTGGGTTTATTCATGACAGCTCATACCCAAATAAATCTGCAAGTCTTTAAGGTGCCACAGGACTCCTTGTTTTCTTTGCAGATACAGACTAACACAGCTACCCCTGGGAGGCATTCATCAGAGTTAATGTACAGTCCCCGCAAGATCCTGTGTAGGATCAATGGCCATGCCCATCCAGCTGGTCCTTGTATTCTGCTTTTGTATGGGGAAACACATGACAGTCACTTGTTATTTTCTACCTCTGGTTACTATGATCTTAGTCTAGAGAGTCAAAGGCAACAGGATAGCTTAAAAGCTTCTCTCTCACCAGCAGAAGTTGGTCTCCTTGAAGACATAACCTCACCCACCTGCTTGCTCTAATATCCTGGGACTGACATGGCTACTACAACACTGAATACAACGTGCAGGACAATGTAGCACTTTAAAGACTAACAAGATGGTTTATTAGATGATGAGCTTTCGTGGGCCAGACCCACTTCCTCAGATCAAATAGTGGAAGAAAATAGTCACAACCATGTATACCAAAGGATACACTTAAAAAAAATGAACACATATGAAAAGGACAAATCACATGTTAGTCTTTAAACTGCTACATTGTCCTGCATTTTGCTTCAGCTACCCCAGACTAACACGGCTACATTTCTATCACTGAATACAACGTTATTCCTATTTGCCCTGCAAAGGAGCAGATTGGGCTAGCTGCATACAGTGTAGACAGTTTCTTGTCAGCAGAGGGTGCTGCCATTGCACATATTGTGTTTCCTTTATTAATTCTGACACACATGCGTGGCTTAAAAAGGTCTCTGTGTGTGACAGGATGACAGAGTGCATGTAGGATTTCCCAGAGGAGATGTGGGGAAAATTTGCTCTCCCTGATGAAAGGGACAGAGAGACAGAATGTGTATTTGGCTTTTTGTTTCATGCCTGAGTTTAGTAAAAACATACAGTGCAGTAGCTTCAGAAACCAAAATCTTTGATTTAGTTGGAGGATAAATACAAACTGAGGAGCAGCAATGCACTTTTTTCCCAGTCACTTCGGACTGCCTCTCTACTGAGATGGATGGATCGCTAATTCAGTCTATGGCCAATTCACACCTTGGGCTATTGCATCATCCCCAGAATTACGCAAGAATTAGCACACTCTAAAGTTCCAAGCAGTTGAGCTTGTTCCTTCCTTGTATTAGTTAGGGGAGAAAGAAAGAAATTCCTACTCAGAAAGGAGACCCGTGCCTCTTGTGGAGTACACATATAGTTATCCCAACTTTTTAACTGAGAAAATTGTGACACACAGTGTGTAAGTCACACAGCCACTGATAGCCCTGGAAATAGCTGTGATGTTTTCAGGCATACAGTCCCCTGGCCATAGCCATAATCATGCAGCTGCATCTCTTGAAAACCCTGCTGCCATTATCTAGCAAGCATTCCAACTCCTGAGCGGCAGCATATGCCAAGACTCTGCCAGTGTAGGCCTGGCCTCAGAAATAAATTGTAAACAGCTCTAAAGCCATGTGGCAATATGGACAGGTTCATGAAGATTCTTAACCAACTTGCACATTGCATTTTCTCCTTCCTGGCACTAAACTGGTGCACTTTATTCATTCAGCTGCTAGACAGAGGTGCCTGAAGAAGCAAGAAAGACTTTTGCAATCACTACACTTGATTGTTATTAGAGATAGGTTTTTCCATTGAATTTGTGCTGTAGCCATTAAAGTTTACTCCTTACACCTAGAGTAATGTTTGAGGCATGTTTAATACGAGCATTGGAAATTTAGATATAGATACTGCACTTAATTATAAGTCCTATATGGATCAGATAGAAGAGGGAATTCTAATGGGTGCCAATAGGAATGGAGAAAAGCACCCAGCCAGCTCTTGCTGTTCAGTTATCCATCATTGATGATTTAATCCACATGTGGCGTTTCTTAACTTTTTAAAAAATAATAGTCAGCCACCTTCAAATACATGCTCTCAAAACTTCCTGCCAGCTCTCTCCATTTTTATTTGCACAAAGTTTCAAAGGATAGGGTCACGTTCCAAGTGGCTGATCACGTTCATTTCAACAACAGGGAGGGGAAATGAAGTTGTCTCGCAAATTGCAATCCTTTGTACTTACTTGTCTGGAAACTTTATGGCTCATTGGGGGTAGGGGAAGAGGGTCACTATTATAGATCTACAGACTTGGTTTGGGGGTAATTTGTATTAAATTTGTGCAAGTGGAATTTCCTAAATGGGCACCTACAAATACAAATAAAATAATATCTAATACTGTAACCTAGTGAGATTCATCTTAAGAAATCGCTGCATTTGAACTTGGAGTAACAAAACACCAGACATTTCACTTGCCAGTATAGTATTTCAGGGCATCCCCGCTATAAGTCACCCAGGAATACATTGGTTCTGCACTAGCATCGTTTACACTTTTGAGAACTATTCCGTTTTAAGTCCTCCCATTCCCCGTTCTTCTGTCGCACTAAAAAAAAAGATAAATACATGCAAACAGAAGTCAGCCACGGGGG